AAGCCCTAGAAGGAATCAAAAGAGGCAAGGCCGCTGGCGAAGATAAAGTAACAACGTACCTCCTGAACGATAGCAGAGAAGTTGTGTTAGAAAAACTGGCTATCACATATACAAAGTGTCTCTTGAAGAAAAGGGTATCAGAATCTTGGAAGAACGCCAACATCCTACTATTTCACAAGAGAGGAGACGTCAAGGACTTCAAAAATTACTGAGAGATCAGCTTACTGTCCGTTCTGTACAAACTGTGTACAAAAATAATAGCTAATAGAATTAAGGCGACATTATAACTCGATCAACCAAAGGACCAAGGAGGATTTTGCACAGGCTACTACGCAGCAGACCATATTCATACTATCAGTCAAGTAATACAGAAATGCACAGAATGCAACCAACTCCTACACATAGCTCTCATAGATTACGAGAAGGCGTCTGACTCAGTCGAGACATCACCAGTAATGCAGGCACTACGGAATCAGGGCATCGACGAACCCTACATAAACATACTGGAAGAAATCTACAGTGAATCCACAGCCACCATAGTCTTTCATAAGGAAAGCGACAGATTCCCAATAAAGAGGGTGTAAGGCAGGAAGACACTCTCTTTCCAATGCTAGGTTTTCAGAGGCCTAATTGGGAAGAGTTAGCGATAAGCGTTAATAAAGAATATATTAGTAAGGTGCACTTCAACGATGACATTGCATTGCTGAGTAACAAAGGGGACGAATTGCTAGTCATGATTACTGAATTAGACAAAGAGAACAGAAAGGTAGGTCATAAAATTAACGTGCGGAAAACAGATGTACAAACTAGGAAGAGAACAGCTCTTCGAGATAAATGTAATAGTGCACTTGAAGTTGTAACAGACTACGTCAACTTAGGACAGCTAATAACCGCGGGGCCGAACCACGAGATTGAAGTAACCAGAAGAATAAAAATGGGGTGGAGCAAATTCGGCAAGCACCATCAAATCGTGACTAGTAGATCGCCACTGTCCCTCAACAGGGCGGTATATAACAGGTGCAACTTGCCGTTACTTACGTACGGTGCAGAAACCTCGGTACTTACAAAGAGGGTCCAGCTTAAATTAAGGACGAAGCAGCGAACGACAGAAAAAAAAGTTATAGGTGTAACCGTAAGAAACAAGAAAAGAGCAGAATGGGTCAAGGAACAAACCGGAGTTAAGAATATAGTAGTGAAAATCAAGAAGAGGAAATGGACATAGGTCGGGCACGTAGCAAGTAGGCAGGATAACTGCTGGTCATTAAGGGTAACTGATTGGATTCCCAGAGAAGGCAAACAAACAAAGGAGAGACAGGAAGTTGTGTGGGCCGATGAGAATACAAACTTCGCCGGTATAACGTGGCAATGAAAACCACAAAACCGGTTTGATTGTCGAATCACGGGAGAAGGTTTCGCCCTGAAATCGGCGTACTCGGGCTGCTTCTGATGGTATTAGTACACATGTCAGCATATGTGGCTACCCATTACCATATATGGATGGTATATGGCCATATATGGCAAGATGTGTTCATTTATTGGGTCGAATGCAGCCATATATGGCCCGGGCGTTCTATATAGGTAACCAAAATTCAGTCATACATGGTACGGCTACATCCTATATGATCATCCTTATTTAAGGAGGTGCCCCCATATATGGGATGATCAATGGGTATAAGCCTGATTCTAGACGCTTCTTCAGCGTTTTTGTTGCGTTCAGTAGGAGCGCATACTCGGTGTTGTTGGGCGAGCAGGTTTCTTGAGGTTGCAGGATTAAAATATTGATGAATTCAAGCAGTAAGAGACACGTCCGTCAAGCTTCGACCTGGCTGACCAGCTAGTGCTAATTCGCCACGTCTAACCGGTGGCCAAGGTCAGTGGGGCACTTTGACTAACACTCTCTGCATAAATAATTTGCTTTAATGAAGTCTGTTCTATTCTATGTCCTGCAGAATTGCTTGTTCTATCTATCGATCTATCTATCGATCTATCTATCTATCTATCTATCTATCCATCTATCTATCCATCTATCTATCCATCTATCTATCCATCTATCTATCCGTCTATCTATCCATCTATCTAGCCGCCTACAGCTTTTAGTTCTCCTGGCCATTTCGATAATGGTATCGACACCAAACTTGGTATGGAAATATATGACTGTATCAAGAACATAATTAACTAGTCATAACATGAAAATCATGATATGTATGTCATGAATGTAATGATTTACATCGTGCTGCAGCTGTCACAGGGGTTTCATTAACACGTCATGTTGCAAAACTGGTATAGTACGACATGATTGCATGGCGAACACAAGCGACAGACCCTAACGTGAAAATCATGACATGCCTGTTATGTAACAACATGACTACAAGCCACGCCCATGATGCACTGGTGGCCGTTTTGCTAGCTTCACTTATACCAAATTTGACATTACGGAACATGAATGGATGACGAAGGCATCATACTGGCGCAAACATGATAAACATGAGATGCGTGTCTTGTAAGGACAAGACTACATGCCACGCTCATGATGCACTTGTGGCCGTTTCGCTAGCTTCACATGTACCAAACTCGGTATTACGCGACGCGAATGGACGACGAAGGAATGTGAATGGTGCAAACATGATAATCATGAGATGTGTGTCATGTGAGAACATGACAACATGCTCCAATCAAGGTGCCAATACATTTCGATGACAAGCGGTGCACGTGCTCGCCGACGTTCATTTAGTCGCGTCACGCTGGCGTTCGCCAGGCACCGGTCCTGTCATATACTCGCAGGCGCGCGCCACGCTGCATTGCATTGACGCATGCGCGTTTCAGCGCGTCTCGCATCTCTCCGTCACAAAAAGAGGGATACGCAGTGTTCTCTGGATTGCCGTAGGGCCGCGCTGATGGACGCTGGTCGCACCTGGTGTCAGACTATAGAGTTTTCATGTTTTGCTAACGTTGCATCGCTGTGCCGAGCGAACGCGCGCGTCAGCGCTACATCGGAGTATATTGGGCCCTTCATGATGCGCTCACGGCCGTTTCGCTAGCTCCACATATACCAAACTGGGTGTTACGTGACATTGTTGGATGAAGAAATATATGACTGGTGCAAACATAGTAATCCTGACACGCGTGTTTCGTAGGAACATGAAAACATACGACGCTCATAGCGTGCTAACGGCCGTTTCGCTAGCTTTACCTATACTAAACTTGGTATCACGTGACGTGAATGGATTAAGAAGGTAAACGACGCATCGAAACATGATAATCGTGACACGTCAGTCGTGTACGGCATCACTTACCTTCACCTCGTAACGTTGTTTTGGTTTTAAAGTGACAAATCAATCTTTCTCATTCGTGCTTCGCATATCATCGATTCCCACTCTACGTGGGATCTGCCAATTTGTTTAACTGTGGCACTCTTTAGGGGGCCACGTTGTCGTACGATGTCGTTGTCTCTTGGTGTAGCACAGACAAACCTACATATTACAGCTGACTCAAGTATGCTGAGCGTGTACTCGTGTCTCTTGTATCTAGTTCTTCGAAAGACTTGATGATGATACAAAGTGAGGCCATTGCTACTGTGGCTATGGAAACACAACACAAGCCTTGTATAAATTTAAAGAGGAAGCGAGCGTGAAGTAGAAAGGAAAAGAGAAAAAAGGTAAAGAAAAACAGCAAAAAAATGAAAATTAGAGAAAATAACGAGAAAAAAGCACAAAAACGCTGGAAAAAAGAACAATAAATAAAGATACGAGAAAGACAAGATGAAAGCGCAGAGAAAGAAACAAAGGCTGCCCTGCTCTGCGCTTTCTTTGGGCTCTGGAACCAGTAGGGCGAAGTTATTTTTTTTCTAAAATCAAGTTCCGTCATCTAGTTTCTGAGTCGCCAAGTTTTCATGTTGCGTATACTTCAACATTTATTTGTCATTTACAATTCACGTACATGAAGACCGGTGCGATATACAAGCTCAAAAACGCAGAACCCATTTATGGTATCACTTTCCGGGTGCATGTTTCTATACTCGGTTGTATAAAAAGCTGTCACATTGCCACAGTTCGGCAAACTCACTCATGAGTCGAGACTCAGATTTAGGCGTGAGTTTGAGTCCGAGTGAGTCTACTTCAGAAAAACGTTTTACGAGTCTGATCTCGAGTGAGCCCGGTTAAGTCTGAGTCCGAGCGAGTTTGGCTTGAGAAAAATTGCGTGAGTCAGAGTACGAGCGAGTCCATTTATTCTGTCGACCTATGTATTTTACAACTAGACAAACCTACCTTCAAATTATGTAACGATGCTTCCGCAACATGATGCGTACATATGAAATGGAAATTTATCTGTTGTATAAACCTTTTAGCAAATTGAGTTCTTGATTCCAGTTGAATAACAGCAAGTTTCGCCGTCCATTTGTACTATTTGTGAGAAGGCATTCACTGCATGCGTGAAGATGTCATCTTTTTCAACCAGCTGATGCAGTGTATGAAACATTTCGACAAGAGGACATGTTTTGTAAAGACAGTTTCTATCTTGACGAAGACGAGTCTACTTGCCGAAACGTTGGCTATGGTGCATTCCCAGTACAAGGATGAAGGATTTTTATTCATTATATATAATTAAACAATGTACGGTGTTATACAGTCAACTTCAAAAATTGTGAATTTTTTTAAACATCAGTTAACTAGTTCAATCAAAAATAATTAGTTACACCGAGTTTGTCAATTTATTTAGTGTAACTTTAATTACCACACTTGAAATATGCCCTAATTTCTTTTCGACGAAGCTTTGACAAGATCACTACCTATTCGGAGGCCTTAAATTTGATGCATTTTATGTGATACAGTGGATATTTTCTCATTGTAAAGTAAGAAGTTATCATAATTTAAACTGAATACGCTAGATGGTGTCCCTCTTCCAGTGTCATTTGCTTCCAAACTAAACAGAAGTTTGCTATCTGTTCCCCTTCAAGTGGACATTACAGGTTTACTGACGCTCCTGCTTGCTTCATTTGGCAGGCCACAAGCGGACCAAATGCAACACCCGCGAGGAACAAGCGTGCGCCAGAATAGGAAAAGGATGCGAGTTGATCGACGAAAAGGCAATGTGTGTGGGTAAGATGTCACGCAATTAACTTTGTGGCAGGTTACAAGAGACCATGAAATTGGAGTTGATGGCTGTTCGTAATTTTTTTTTTGCGCCTATGGCTGAGGAACGAGTTTTCACGCCACGCGCTGGTGCGTTGTAACGCGTACGTGTGGCAGGGGCTCTTGAATTTTTATCATGGAAAAAGCCTGTCGAGTTCGTTACAGTTGAATCGTTCCTCATATCTTTGTGCGAATCTTCTTGCATTAGCGCCGTGCGCTCTGTGCTTTTCCGATAAAGAACGGTGAATTCCTCGCTATTTGTTCACAAAGTTTCTTCTGCTCTGTTTAATTTCATACAAACAAAAGCAGGGTAGCTAGAACCTGCATAGGTGAATAATGTTCAAATAAATAATCAATATCCCTCTCATTTCGCTTCGTACGGAAGAAGCGTACAAAATGCAACGAGGAAGAGAAGGAAGTATGCAGAAATATGAAACAGAACTGCGAGTTAGTCGACGGCGCAGCACTCTGCGTAAATGGCAAGTAACTTCTTCATCGTCGTCAGCATCATTTGCTCGTTTCGGTAACCCGAAAAGCGCAGCAGCAAGACTTCCGGCCAACGCCACGTGCGGTAGACGTGACCTGAGTAGAAATGTCACACGTCACGTCATACTACAGCTGCAATTCTCATAAGAGAGAATGGTTTTGCTAGCGCTCCATAAACAGAAGCATAGACATCATGCAAAATTACTGCTATCTGTCGGCTGTCGTGTGCATACGCTAAGCGCAGTACCCACAGTCCGCGAGTGTCTATGTATACGTATACGTTGTGGAGATACGTTTGCACTAGGCTTACCTACTAAGCGCAACCGTGTAGGGGTGCGACGTCCTCCACTGCCGCTGCGTGCGACGACGCTGCGGCCGGCTTCATCGTTTTCTCCGACACGGTGCAGAAACCACGCACAAGGCAGGATAAAAACAATAACGGGTTTATTAACCCAAGGTGCAGTACAGTGCGAAACTTACGGGCTTGCAGGCCATATAGAGAACTCCGCAAGACCGAGCAAGCACGCTTGCCTAGGGCGCGATGACTCCCGCACAAGGGGCGAAGTCAAACGCACGAACGAGAAGCCGCCTTCTAAGCAGCGCGTCAACCCCTCGTCGAGGCCTGAGAGCATCTGCCGCGACGAACGAATCGTCGGGCGCAACATAGCTCGTAGGAGGGGAGGATGTTACGCGCGCCCCATCCGACGCCAGCGTAGCTCCCGCCGACTTCTTCGCCCTCCACGGTCTGCTGACACCGTGCAGCTCTCGCATTGTGGTGCCCCGCCCTTGGACTGCTTGGACCGGATCCCCACTTTTCTATCTCCTTCTATTTTCCGTCGCTTACCTCTCTATTTCTTCATGTATTTCCTTCTATTCTTTTTATCCCTCCTTACCCCCACTCCTACAGGGCACTGCGCCGTGTCGCCTATAGGCAGACAGAAATTAGGTGCCTTCTTTTTCTTCCTTACGAACCACTAACCTACCAACGTAGGCCCTCGGAGGATTTCAATCTGGACGGTCGTGCCCTCGCAATCTCCGATGCTAGCGTAGCTCCCGCCGACTGGTTCGCCCTTCGCGGTCTCCTGACGCCATGCAGCTCTCGCATTGTGGTGCCCCGTGTTTCGACTGCTTCGATCAGATCCCCATTTTTCTATCTCCTATTTTCCATCACTTGCCTTTCTATTTCTTCATCTATTTCCTTCTATTCTTTTTATCCCTCCTTACCCCCACCCCTACAAGGCACTGCGCCGTGTCGCCTATAGGCAGACAGAAAGTAGGTGCCTTCTTTCTCTTCCTTACGAACCACTAACGAACCAACGTAGGCCCTCGGAGGATTTCAAGCTGGACGGCCGTGCCCTCGCGATCTCTGACGCCAGCGTAGCTCCCGCCGACTGATTCGCCCTCCGCGGTCTCCTGACGCCATGCAGCTCTCTCATTGTGGTGCCCCGTCCCTGGACTGCTTCAACCGAATCCCCACTTTCCTATCTCCTACTTTCCGTCGCTTGCCTCTATTCTTCATCTACTTCCTTCTATTCTTTTTATCCCTCCTTCCCCCACATTTATAAGGCACTGCGCCGTGTCGCCTATAGGCAGAAAGAAATTTGGTGCATTTTCCTCTTCCTTACAACCACTACCACCCAGGTCCGCGCAGCGTAGCGTGCCCGGACATGCCAGCGTGGGACGGAGCCGAAGCTTGACTCGTTCAGACCAAGTTGCGACCCGGCAGCCATCTTGGCGAATGCCGGTGAATATACGCTCCCGGGCTACGCGGTCAGTGCGCGCGCAGCAGCTGGGGAACGAAGCGCCTGGTAGTGGACGCTCTCGATTCCCACAACGTGTACATAGACATAGACTTTTACATAGGCGAAAAATGGGAGATGCCTTTGTCCTGCAGTTGACGTAGTCATGATGATGATGAAGATGATACAAGACGTATCGACGTGAGGCGCATAGTGCATTGGCTGATATTCGCAATGCCGACGTATTGCTGTGTCCCTTGCTGCACACAAGTGAGAAACTCGGAATGCTTAAATAAAATAGGCAAGCCGTGAACTTTGCTTCCTATTTTTGCAAGCTGACGATGTTTCTAGAATGTTCTCCAGCTACTGCTACCGGGAGACATTTTTGCATTCGTCTTTTTAGGCAAATAAGAAGTGCAATAGCGTTTGTACTTGTGTACCCACAAATCGCTGCACACCGAACCAAGGAGTTTTTTTTTTCTTGCAATGTTTTCGCTATCAGCCGTTTAGCAAGTGAAAGCTATTCACGCTTCACGCAGAAGCCACATTCACGCAACGACGTTTATCATGTACTAATTGCGTGTTCTAATCTGTCTTTTGTGTTACAATTGTATCTATAAGTTTTACAATATCGCCCTTCCCTTACGTGGCAGGCAAAAATCGAACCAAGTGCAATAAAGAAGAGACAAGAGTTTGCGACCAACTTGGAAAGAGATGCGACTTTTCGACAGGGGCAGCGCTGTGCACAGGTAAGACTATATCATTGGAGACGTCCAGAAATTCGATCGCACAAGTTATGAATTTTAATAACCGAAATGTTCTATAAATGTACTATGCGGCCCAATTTTGAAAGGTAGCACCCAGTTAGCATTATACCAGCGACTGCCTCGCCGCGGTAGTCTAGTGGTTAATGTACTCGGCTGCTGACCCGCAGGTTGTGGGTTTGAATCCAGGCTGCGGCAGCTGCATTTCCGATGGAGGCATAAATGCTTTAGGCCCGTGTGCTCAGATTTGGGTGCATTTTGAAAAACCCCAGGTGGTCGAAACTTTCGGAGCCCTTCCACTATGGTGTCTCTCATAATCACATGGTGGTTTTGGGACGTTAAACCCCACATATCAATCAATCATACCAGCAACTGCAACTCAGTTATAATACAAGAACAGCTTTCGTGTGCGCATGTCATCCTAATTCTTTTTGTGCAATACTCCGGCAGCAACTGTAGCCGCTACCTTTAGCAGCGACACCGATATGCAAAAAGCACCTGCCGGCTCCCTCGCCACAAATTTGAACGTCTGTGATTTCTCGAGTATGCGTGCAAAGCAATATTACAAACTTGAACATATGTGCAACAGCAACGTTGCTTGTTGGGCGAGTTGGAACAAGTAAATCATAATGTAGCGCAGCGCAAAAGCAGACAACAAACGAGCGAGGGAACGAGAAAACAGCGCAGTCTTCCAACTAAAGTTGATTCTATAGATTGGGACGCACCTCTATATACACAGGCAAAGCAAGAAACAATAGAAACCAGGAAGCAAAAACCAAAAGGTTAAATCTAGAGAAGTGCCGATAAGTCACACACGTTGCACTACCACTGCCCCCCTTTCCATGAGTCGCGAAAAACAAAAACTCTTTAAGAAATGTGCAAGGGAGGCATGCTTATGCGTGCGTCCCCAGACCGTAGCAGCAAACGTCATTTACTTTTTCTTTATTGCTGCAATGTATGTAGTAATTTATGCTACGCTCTACTCGTGAATAGTTAATATAAATGCCAAAATAAGTGAAATATTTAGCTCTACATGGTCAGACTTACGCCCAGCAAATGTAGCAAAAGTCAAAAGCGCAACGATCTACGACAGCACCGCGCAAAACTGCTTGTACGCACCGTTCTTAACAACGGGTATACGCCGTCAATAGTCGGTAAAATCCTCCGGACTGGAAAGCCAGCTTGATTGATTGATATGTGGGGTTTAACGTCCCAAAACCACTATATGATTATGAGACACACCGTAGTGGAGGGCTCCGGAAATTTAGACCACCTGGGGTTCTTTAACGTGCACCCAAATCTGAGCACACGGGCCTACAACATTTCCGCCTCCATCAGAAATGCAGCCACCACAGCCGGGAATCAAACCCGCGACCTGCGGGTCAGCAGCCGAGTACCTTAGCCACTAGACCACCGCGGCGGGGCGAAAGCCAGCTTTTCAACTGCATTGATTAGTATGTGAGGTTTAACGTCTCAAAACCACCATATGAATTTGAGAAACGCCGTAGTAGAGGGCTCCGGAAATGTCGACCACATGGGGTTATTTAACGTGCGCCCAAATCTAAGCACACGGGCCTACAACATTTCCGCCTCCATCGGAAATGCAGCCGCCACAGTCGGGATTCAATCCCGTGACCTGCCCCGCCACGGTGGTCTAGTGGCTAAGGTACTCGGCTGCTGACCCGCAGGTCGCGGGTTTGAATCCCGGCTGCGGCGGCTGCATTTCCGATGGAGGCGGAAATGTTGTAGGCCCGTGTGCTCAGATTCGGGTGCACGTTAAAGAACCCCAGGTGGTCGAAATTTCCGGAGCCCTCCACTACGGCGTCTCTCATAATCATATGGTGGTTTTGGGACGTTAAACCCCACATATCAATCAATCCCGCTACCTGCGGGTCAGCAGCCGAGTATCTTATCCAATACACCACCGCGGCGGGGCCTTTTCAACTGCATATCCCGCAATTATTGGGATATTTGGTGGCAGCTTTATTGGTATTTTCAAACTCTATCGTCATGATATGCCACCTCATAATTGTCTGCAATATATGGATGCGTTAAATATAAGGCATTCCCTTTCACTAGCCCACTCTTGCACGATGTTTGAAATTATAGAAATAACTCAATTAGGACCGCTTTATGGCTTTGAAGAGAACTACTAAAAGTGAAAATTAAAAGTTCATACAATTCCCTATGTATTCGCCTAAGACAACTACAAGGAAAAAGTCATTTTCTTTTACGTCTGAACCAATTGTACTGTGCCCCGCCACGTTGGTCTAGTGGCTAAGGTACTCGGCTGTTGACCCGCAGGTCGCGGGATCAAATACCGGCTGCGCCGGCTGCATGGAGGCGGAAATGTTGTAGGCCCGTGTGCTCAGATTTTGATGCACGTTAAAGAACCCCAGGTGGACGAAATTACCGGAGCCCTCCAATACGGCGTCTCTCATAACAATATCGTCGTTTTGGGACGCTAAACCCCACATATCATCATCCCCGATTGTATTGGTTCTCCTACGCCTCCCTCTCCCGAAAACCTTACGCACTCTACGAGACGTCTCAGTGGCGTCACAGATTTTGTCAGGCTGTGAAGTCGTATACGGTGGCGTCATCACGCGACGATTCCTTTTCGCGTCACTCTTGTTGACGCCGAAGTTAAATTTCTGCGTCTTATGAGGCATCTAAAGCTTTCGCCTAACCAAGCTGTACTATCAGCGTCAAATGAAACCCAAACATCGGCAAGCCTTTGCGATAGTGTAATGCACGCCGTCCACTTATCACCATGAACAGGCGCGCATATTTGCGCACAGCTGCCGAAGAGGGTGCGCGCGCCTGTCAACGGTGATAACTGGACGGTACTCACTACACTATCGCAAAGGCTTGCCGATGTTTGGGTTTCATTTGACGCTGATAGTACACCAGCCTTTCTGAACACCACCTTCACACTGTAAATAGGATTTGTGAGCCACCGACTAGTGGCAGACATTATTGAAGACCGTACACGTCGACTAAATATGCTAGTTATTTTAAAACGTTTCGCACTAAGCGAACATGCTTAGACGCAGGCCACGACTTATGGCCGGTAGCCCGTAAAGTACGACCTGTTCTATCGGCGTAGATTGAAACGCGATGAGCGGCCAACATTTGAAACGGTATCGCCATGGAAATAACCATGGACAAGCGCAGCGCTGACAAACTGCAGAGCTGTGCGCCAGCCAATAGTGATGACTGCACGGCACGCATTATACCATTTCTAAAGCCCTAACCACACGTACGCGTCACAAGACGCTAGCGCGCGCCTCTTCAGATGGGCGGAATAAGCACAAAGCTACGTGTAGCAGCGCGCCCTCTGCCGTCACAGGGAGTGGGCGCGCATAGGGACGAAGCCCTCACCACACGTGCGCGCTGCAAGACAGACGTGTGGTTAGGGCTTAACGGTTGCCGCTGTTCGCATTTCGTTTAACGCCGATGGTACATACAGCTGCCGAAGTTATTTCCAAAGTCAATTTCTTTGACGCTTGTGTTGCGTTTACATACTCGTTTAGCGTAATAGCAAGCGCTTTTTTACTTAATAACACAACTTCGCCTCACGTTTTTGTTGTGGGCCTTGCAGGCAAGAAACCTGCAAAATGCAGTGCTGCGCAAAGTGAAGCGTGCAGTAAGAAGGGAAAATCGTGCAAGCTTGTGGGTGGCAAGGCAGTGTGCCTAGGTGAGAAAAAAATTTAGCTTCAAAGTTTTCATCATCATAAATGTGACTGACAGAATTTAGAGTATCACCTGCCTACGGCCACCTTTCCAGCAAAAGGCGGTATGATGCGTAAAATCATTTGTAAATTCATTCGCTCCTCGAGCCATTAAAATCATTTGACGAGATTACTTATCTCAAGGCGATGAAGTATGTTCTGTCTTTTCAAAAAAAAAAAGTTCATCTGACAGTTGAATGAGGCTGCATATAAAACACTGTATACTGTCGTGTAAGATGCTATATAGGGGCCGATTAGCGATCAACACTATTTATGACAGTTATTAGCAGAGATTATACAAGATTTTTGCTAAAAGTAATTACATTGCCTACTACTAGTCTAGAACGTTTTTTTTAAGCTGCGCTACACACCAGACCACAACTGGCCGAAAGAAATGACAGCAGTGTTAATTTTCAAACTAATTAGTTTACTTCGAATTTCACAAACGGTATTATTCATGCAGTAAGTCATGTATGCTTTATTTACCGAACATTAACAATAAAATTGCATAAGTCTTTATTCAACTTCTAACGCTAGGAGTTTGACATTTATATTAGCTTAACGTTTTCGTCATTTTTCTGTGTTTTTACGGTCTGTTTTTATGGAATGAGGGAGCGAAAAGACGCTGCATTTTAGGCAAAAGCAAATAAGTGACAAGTAATTTCATTAAAGTTTATTGTTTGAATTAATTCACTGCAATATTCACGACGTAGAAATATTTGAATGGTAATCTCATTATCGTAACTTAATTAGTGATAACTCTGGTGATTAAAACATCGATTGATGGGAGCGGGAAAGCAATAACAACCATTCTGTAAACTCTTTCAACCTATTGTCGTGATTTCGCAACGTGCCGAAACTCAGATCATAGATTCAAATGGCGCATTCAAGATGGGTAGATCTTTATATTAACGTCATTTGATTCAATCTGCAAATTAGCCCATCAGCGTTTCGCCATTTCCGGCCTATAAAAAATTTATCTCGCACGGTCCTTCCAAAAAGTGAAGAGTGTAGGCGCTTCAAAAAGCAGGTGCGCCTATGTCCATTCAGGGGCACGAATTGGATATTCCCAATGTACTGAATGTTTGGAGACAATAGTAAAATGAAAAACAAGTTTACTTGATAGCTTCGGTACGTTTAGGGAGAAAAAAATGCAATGTTGAAAATATTGTTTGATCGAACATTTCATAAGCTTTTTAGCCTATTGTCACAAGTTCGCGACGTACCAGATTTCAGCTCATGGGTCCAAATGAGGCACTCAGAATGAGTAAGTCCCAATCAGAACGCCATGCAAGTCCATCCGGAAATTAACCCGTCAGCGCATCGTAACTGTCGGCTTATCAATATGAAAACGTGTTGCACACGCTCTTTCGAAAGATTGTAGGCTCTACAAAAACCTCGTGCGGCTATGTCCATTCAGGTGCACACATTGGAATTACCGTCACTTACGATATTGAATGTTTTAAATACAATAAGATTTTGGACTAGTAAGAACACCGTATTGCACACGGTCTTTCTAAGGAGTGTAGGCGTTTCAAAAAGCTCGTGCGGCTGTGTACATTCAGGTGCACAAGTTGGAGACACCGTCATTCAAATATTGAATGTTTCGCAGACGATCACACCAGCTCACTTGAAAGCTTCAGTGTGTTTATAATCGTTCATGTCGTGCGCCTCAAGCCCTTTCGTGCTCGTTAACGAACCTAAAGAGTGTATTGTTTGTTGTTCTTCCTCTATTATGGTGCTTTATTACTTGCACTTATACTTATTACTGTATTTTTTTACTTTAGTTATTTTTATTGTTTGTGCATTTTTTCCCGTGTTCTGTTTCAAGCATTGGCGCGATGCCTTTTCAGAGGGGGCAATGTAATGCTACCTAAAACATATTTTCAGGCCTACATCACGCTTGTTTTGGCCGAGCGAGCGTGCGTACGGAGGCGGTGAATCTATTGCCACAATCGTCTCCCGTTAAAGGATAAAACGTTCGCGGCAAGTCTTGCTTGCTTGGCGTCTTTATTCTGCTTTTGGCGCCAAAAAAAGAGGGGGGGGGGGGGCGCTGGTTTGAGTAATGTATTACGCTTGAAAGTGTTTGGGGATTGAATCATTTCTTATAAGAAAAAGTCAAAGACTGTGCGCTATCGAACGTGTATTCGATCTATAAGAGCAAATTTTGTTGGACCACCAAAGTGACGAAATATTGAAGCTAAATCATTCATTCTTTATTTTGTTACAAACACACGCACACACACTAGCTACAACTTGCAGAGAAACTGTTCGTATACACATTTGCCGAGTATCTGCCGTTTTGTTTGTACTCTTTCGAGCATCTGTCTTCATAGACCCGTAGTTATTGAGAGTTTGTGCTGCTGCCACTACTATATGTTATTCAGCACGACATCAGGGCGATGACCATTGCACCAGAAAGCAAAATATTTCGTTTCACAAGTATCTCTTGTGACCGACACAAGGATTGGCGCTTCCTCTTTTTCACTGGCCCCTCTCGCAGTGGTGCGAAGTCGCTTATATAACTTAGGGTTTGGGAAAAATGTTGGTACTGGGTCTAGGTTGAACTTTGCTGCCCCCGTGGGCACTTCTACTGCTCTGCCGGTTCTTCTGTCGGTATATTTGGTAGTGGTTCTTAAATATTCTAGCCGGAAGTAGAGCTTTCACCCCTTTAAAAGGCACTTTACCGTAAGTGTCTACACATATCTATATACATTTCAAGAAAACATATTAGGCTAATGTGATGGCAAAACTGGCGCAAAATTATAAAACCGCAATATAGTGGTTGGAACACCGGCAAGAAAATACTATGCACTAAACCGATTCACTAAGTAATGCAACAGCACTCTTTCCTTTTTCCTAACCAAGTAAACAGACGTAATACAAGAATTCTGCTGCGCTAATCGCCTATAGCCAAATGTTTACCGACCCTGAAGGAAAAACGCCTGTTCTTAAAATGTACTACCGCCACGCGCGTTTATTGCTTCACTGTCAGGCCTAACGCCAACAAGTCCAAAGCAAACACGACACCTTTACTTTAGATCAAGAACGGAACATGCTGGAGATGGTGTCATTGAAACGACTTAGAAATATGTAGTACGGACGCGCGTACCTTCGGGTCACAAAGAAAACGGATTTTGGCGTGACATTGACGAACGACACTCTTCGATTTCGTGCTTCGGTTGCCCTTAGGAAACGAGAACACTCACAACTTCAGTCCCTTTGCTGCGACAATTTGCCACGCAGCATTGCCAAACCGCTCGGATTCGCAGCCGTACAGATTGCGAATATCCAGTGCACAAAGCGCATCGCACATCCACGCTGCAGCTAACGGACACAGAAAAACACGACCCTCCCGAGTCGCCAACAGGCACACCAGCACGCCACGAAAACGTTCGTCAGGCTTGGCAATCCAAGTCTCTCGAGCGACGAGAGCAAGCGTAGATACGTCTGTGCAGCGAAACACACCAGTCTAAATGAAGTGACGTCAGAACCCGCGGCAAAAACAGTGAGCAGGCCTGAAATTATCTAGGTGGCATTTGGCAACGCCACATTTCTTTATAAGTTGTGTTATCACACCGTTGCACTGCCAGTGATTCTCAGCGAAAACCACGCCTGCAGCGTTCGAGAAGCTTCAGGAATGTAGCAGATTGTTTTGTTAAGATTACGCCCACTTCAAAAACATCGCTGATTATTCTGGAACCTACGTGGCCGCCAGCGATAACGCTAGATTATTTGACGGCACGTGTATAAACGCCGACGTGCTTACGCTGGTCAGTTGCTCGATAGCCGACGATGTTCGTCGCTACCAGTGCCGCTGTGTTACTGTAATCTGACTTTCCGTTTATCAGCCACAAGTTCGGCCCAATAAACAGTTTTCATCTAAACATCCAGCCTGCTACCCTCGTGCACGTCACGACCCCGTGATAATATTATAACATGTGGTGAAAAAAGGGAAGCGAGGGTTACGAGTCACGTGAGGGTGCGAATGGAAAGAAGGGGGACGAGGGCATTACTGAAACACTGAGCTTCATCGATTTACCAAGTCCCGGACCAGTCGCCGGCGACCCGCGGACGCCTCGGCTCATAAGTGCCTACGTCACAGAACAGCCAGGCACGCAAAAAACGAACATGTGTCCGAGCGATCCCGGACAAGTCAGTGGGCGGAGCTTCCAGTTGGTCCCCGAGAAATACGAATGCGGCGCCGGCGTCCGGGGCCGTACGTAGCCATCCGGGACGTGTAAACGCACCAATTAGTATTCTTTTCTGCCATAAACGTCGAGCAGGCTCCACGTTTGCAACGCCAGCAGGCTCTTGTCCGTGAGCGTCAGCGTCGCCGAAGCGCACGCGTATGACTGCTTCGCACTTCCTGCGGCTTTCGTGTTGATTGCAGCTGCAGACATCTTGTTAGCGTTTCACTTTTAAATTAAATAGTTACTCATATAATCAAGCCCCTCGGCCAGCCGAATGCGGTCGAATGTGACTGAGCAGACATGACCCACACAACAGTAAAGTTGCGAAATGAGTCGGTTGGTTCGATGTCGTACGTGCCTTCATGAAATGAAACACGTGAGCCCATGGCCTGCACTCTGCGGCGGCTGCCTAAAGAGTCATCAAGGAAGAAACCATGTCCGATTTTGGCGTCATCCATAGGCAAACAAGATGGCGAGTCATGGCCATTGGTCAAGCGCTGCTAGATTAAATATACGCTCCCTCACTACGGGAAGTACAGCCGAAAGCGGGCGTGCTTTCTTTTAGCTATCGGCTTTTGCTGTTGTGGGCAGCAGCAAGAGCCGCGCGCTCGCATGTTCCCTTTCACAAAGGACGACAGTGAACATATTTTTGAAGGTTTGAACTAGTCAAAAGACAGTATACAATAGTGGCACACACGACTGGACTGCGTATGTGTGTATTGCATGCCAGTCGTGTGTGCCGCTTTCCTCGTCCGTGTTCTGTCTTTTGGCTGCTTCAAATCCTCATGGCTCAGATACTTGTAGCTCGATCATATGTGAAGCTGGAGCTAAGCATGTTTGGCATATCGAATGGCACGCAATCTTGCAAAGTACAATGGCTTATCAACAGATCGTTCCGTGCGTTCTTTTTATTATCATTATTAGGCATTAAAAGCCCTCTCAAACTAAGAAGGGCACCTTGTAATTTCACGTTGTCACTTCAATAAATGTCCGGCCGATTTAGCACGTTTAAAATGCACTGCCGGCGAATGCACCAAAGCGGACGAGCACTACACACCAGTAGAAGTCTTGATGCTCTAAAGCTTAATTAATTATGTCCTACCGTCATTTCTTTCTTCTGACGTCGTACGAAATTCTATCCCCACCACAGCATGTGCATTGTGCAGCCAAAGCAGACACACGTGTGTCTGCTTTGGCTGCACAATAGTGTACACATAGTGTACACTATGAAAAAATATAATAATATGCATCAAGTACAATACCTCTATACGGCAGAGTTGCTTCATTTTGACAGTGTTCTCAAAACAGCAGACAATAGGGTTTCAAGAACGCAAATAAGGCAGGCACTGTCTTGTTTTTGTGTTCTCTGTAGTACTTGATTGATTGATATTTGGGGTTTAACGTCCCAAAACCACTATATGATTATGAGAGACGCCGTAGTGGAGGGCTCCGGAAATTTAGACCACCTGGGGTACTTTAACGTGCACCCAAATCTGAGCACACGGGCCTACAACATTTCCGCCTCCATCGGAAATGCAGCCGCCGCAGCCGGGATTCGAACCCGCGCCCTGCGGGTCAGCAGCCGAGTACCTTAGCCACTAGATCACCGCGGCGGGGCTCCCTGTAGTCCTTCTTGTCGTTTGAGGAACGCTGCAAACACACTCCAAGTGCTCATCGTCTTTTTATTAAATCCAGAGGCAATTAAATGTTAGACAGCATAAAGAGCCTTCAAACGGTATAAAGGAGACTGCGATCAAAATTTCGCATTTAAAATAACAGTGGTTGTGTTAAGAAGAGCCAGAAAAGCGCATACTTTCTAACGGCGCCGAGAAACAGTGGTGCCAATACCGATCCCAATGAGTGAGTATGATGAAGGCGTTCTCTATAAAATGCGCATCTCATTGTCATAAATTCCGAGACAAGACGAGGTAGTCTCCTCACATCTTGAAGACAAGGTGCTTGGTCATAAGTGAAGCGACACCCATGTGCACGCATTTGTCTAGGCGCTGTTTAGAGACTCCTCAAATAACGAAATGCAAATACTGCCACCCCTGCCACTTCATTATTATAAATTCAATGAAACACAGAGAAACTACATCGCCGTTCGCTAGGAGCCTGAGTACGCCAGTTCTTCTTGACAAAATGTAATAAAGCACAAGTCACTCTACCATGTGGAACTGCTGACTAGTTTATGACCTTCTTGCAGTGTGCCCGATACATGCCTGCTGGAAAGCTTGTCGGGAGGCTGAACCCGACAAAAAGGTGCTCAACGTCTCATGCAAGGCATCCGACATGTGCGCCTGCTCATACGAAGATGGTAAGGAGATCCAAAGATATAGTAGATTACACGAGAATGCAAAAATAAAAGCCCAATGTAGGTTTAACTAAGTTGCACCACACATACGCTGTAGTGAATAGGAACAATTGTACTATAAAAAAATTCATATACTATACTCGAAAACTTCGTGCACAATGGGTATTAACAAATGAAAAACAAAGCGTGGATTTATAGAATTGACAGTTTTGCTAACTAATCTTCGCATCATGAGCATCAGCATGTGGAATTCATTCCGTTTATATTGAAAAACACCGAAGTCGACCAGGTTGATAGTTAGCGCTGTGCCCGTATATTGCACGGTTCTGCCATAATGTTCATAAACCAAGGGGCCTAGCCAGACGCCTTGTGCATTCAACTTCAATTTCACAAAACTGCTTACAGGAACTTTACTGTTGGCGCTGTTTCACCCATAGATAACAGGTGTTGGTGAACCCAGCATTTAAAAGCATTCTTAGTATACTTGGCTGCCTTCACCATGCACTTGGCATATCATCTTGGCATGTCATTCACATTGAACTTGTCATATCAGTCTGTCAATTAGAGGAGTCAACTTTAGAGTTAAGCACAAATGAAAGCTGCCAAGTTGTCGAGGCAAGTTACCCGAGGAACCAGGTGTGTAAGGTACTTTAAGCTCGTGGTTGTTGCTTTTTTTTTTTGCAAATAAGATGGCACTCAAGACGCAAGCACTGTTTGTTATTCATAAACCTAAGCCTAAATAAATCAATTAAATGTTAAATACAAGTCAGCTGTTGTAATGTTCTTTGGTGTCTGGCCGCAATATTTTCAAGACTTCTGCCAGGTAAGCTAACGAACAGCTGGGAATATTAAAACGGTAACGAGGTTGCACGAATAAAAACTGCACAACTGGAAGAAGCTGGAAGAATAACTTTCAGTTAGTATTGACTATACGTCCCTAATTCGGTTATAATATCAAGCTGCGAGTCCCCGCTACAAGTAATCAGTCCATGCATCATCGCACTGGCATATGTAGAGAAAAGAAAAGGCGGCAATCCTAACGTCACTTCATCCCGTTTCAGAGTGTCTACCCTCGAAATGTCAGGACTACTGCAAGGTGGCAGTTCCACATGCGGACTCCAAAAAGGCGGTCTGCAGGGACAATTTGTGCCACTGTGTTGCGCCACCAACGCGCCCGCCAGGTACGTACTAACAGCTCTGAGTAATGTGAGGCTCATAATTTACAGCCCGCAGTCCTCCCGAATTACTAAAAAAAAGCTGCAAGCGTAGTTCTTCCCACGGGGAGAACCCGAGTAAATTCGTCGCAGAGTAGTGGGGGTATCACACGAATGTTGCACAATAAGGTATGGTTTGACAATGCTTGTCATTTCGTCCTTATTGTTCTTATTTATTGAATGAAAGATAACCGCTGCCTCCAATGACTGGTGGGACGCTGATGTTGGGTTGTGCCCCACTTCTGATTGAGGGTACTGTTGCTTTCATCAAGCAAAGCGTCAAGTCAAGCGAAAGCCAAGACGCCCTTGACTGAATTCTAAACGCACGTTGCAGTGCCTACATATGGGAGGTGGTCAGTGAATGGTTGCGCAGCGTAAAAAGTTCGTGTTTTTTTTTTTACTAGCAGACATTTTTGCATCGGCCTTGCGAGGAGAGAGAGGGTGAGTGGAGCAACAGTTGGCACGCGACATGAGCATGCGCAGTGGGGGCGTGGATGGCGCCGCCGGATCCACGACCACGTGTGTCTAAGAAATGCGCGGCATTTAAAAGTTTGGAAGACACTTGAGCTTCACCCTAAAGAGTAGAGTGCACCTCGTTCGCATCTGCTCATTCGCTAGACTGGCTTCGCTTATCGCTACACACCTCAATAATATCTGGGCTTTTACGCCCCAAAACCACGATATGATCATGAGGGTCGCCCTAGTTGAGAGCTCCGGAAATTTTGACCATCTGGTATTTTTAACGCCCCCGGTGAAACTGTGTAGCTGGTAATCCAGCTTGATTGATTGATATGTGGGGTTTAACGTCCCAAACCACTATATGATTATGAGAGACGCCGTAGTGGAGGGCTCCGGAAATTTAGACCACCTGGGGTTCTTTAACGTGCACCCAAATCTGAGCACACGGGCCTACAACATTTCCGCCTCCATCGGAAATGCAGCCGCTGCAGCTGGGATTCGAACCCGCGCCCTGCGGGTCAGCAGCCGAGTACCTTCGCCACTAGACCAACGCGGTGGGGCCTGGTAATCTAGCTAGTTTCAACTCTAGCATTCAGTGGGATCAACTGGTTACTGCAGGCCAACTGGTAACAGCTGGGGGCCAACTGAGAACAGTTAGCCCCATGCAGGTGCAAGTGGTTACAGTAAGCAGCTAATCCTAATTAAAACTCAACTGGCCACCAACAGGGACCACTGACAAAAAACTGGAAGCAAGTGGTCCCTGTTACAGTCTAACTGGAAAGGTAACGTGTTGTTCTGCTTGAACACCAGGTCGCCCTTTGGTTGAACAACTGAAAAAATAGTCCCACTCTTGGATTCGGCAGCGTCCTCCGAAGGCGGGGTCACCAGCCACCCGGCTCATGACCTTAGCCAGGAGAGCACGCTCTTTGGTACGGGCTTGTGTGCATCCGCCTTTGAGGCCGAAATGTTGCTGACTTCCAAAGTTGTATCCGACTATAAATTCTAAACTGGCACCATGTCACAGTGACTGGTGCCAGCTCAGCATGTGCAATTATTTCACTCAGCAAGAACCAAATATGTTTATACTTAGCTATTTCTCTCCTTCTAGTAAAGAAAGGTGCGTGCACACAAAAGGCTTGCACGAAGGCCTGCCAGGCTGCAGAACCCAACAAGAAAATCCTGAAGGCATCGTGCCCCGAGGCCGACATGTGCCGCTGCTCGTACGAAGACGGTGAGAGTAATGATTTGCATCTCGTTTTGCACTCGCAGCAGTCAATTTGGTTTTCGACTCGCTTAGATATGCTCAGAATGTGCTTGCGTCGTGTATTTGTATTTTTAACATCTACGGTAAGTTTACGCCATCATATAGGAGGTATTCACGTTACCTCATCCGCAAGAGGTGCTAGCGCGGAACTCGCCATACTTGTGGTTTCACGTTCCAAGGTCATCGTTAGACCACAACCAAAGCTCTCGGCAGCACGTGTTTGTTATGTTACTAAGAAAACGTGTTAGGTGAAGCATCAGTGTGTCATACGCCGCATCGCTGACGAACTACGGCTATGGTGGCACATTAACTGGCGCCGCCTGGCGGGAGGAGCTTAGTGGATACCTTTGAAGTGTCTAGACTGAGCCGTCGTTTCTGCTGCAGTCTCAAAAACTGTGTCCTGGTCATCAATTTCTGCACAAATTTTTCCTGTAAGCGTGGTGTAGCAATCGTTTCTGAACCATAGTAATGATGGTCCTTGTGTCTAATTTTTACTCTTTAAAATCCTTCGGCGTCATTTGTTAGGCTCATCCTCTGATTTTCCAAGCACTCAATGTTTTCCAACACAGCAAGGCAATGACTGAGTCACTAAGACCATACGTAACGATCACAATCTGCTACTTTTATATCACAAGTTAAAGAAAGGGGAAAGTTGCTAGAAAATAAAAGTTCAAAGCTGAAATACTACATCTACTAATTACCACAATTCCTGGTCCTCCTGCTGCAGTAAACGTCTGCAAGAAATCGCTAGTTTGACAACTGTCTGTAGTTATCACAGTTTCACTCGTGATAATTTTTTCTTCTGTCAATATCAATTGTTAAATAAAACAAAACATCCAAGAAACCAAATTCTTACGGCAAGCCACGAGAACAATGCAAATGCCTCCTCGTATAACTTGAAAGTGCACACTGGTACAAAGTCACAAAGTCGCCCTTTTTTTTAACTGATTTTGGCCATCATGTAACTTCTCTGTTAATAGTGTTAAACGGTCATAAACAAAAAATACTCAGTGAAACGGCACACAAGTGTTGGTACAAACTTCACCTTTTTATTTTGGGGTTTTTTAGACTGCACAGAAGATATATGCCGTGTCTACTGCAAGAAAGCACTCCCAAATGGAAAGCTCAAAACTTCCATGTGCATAAACAACTACTGTTACTGCAATAAAACAGAAGGTACGTATTTAAGCTGCTTGCACAAGACAACCTTCCCAATTACCAATTTTAACACATGAAGGTTCTTTAGCCTTTGTCACTGTTACTTGTCTATTTTCAAGAACAATGTCATTTATACATAACAATCTTACCACATAAACTTCTCAGGGGTTATAGCTAAAAGTCCTTATGCTGGAATGCAAAATATATTGTTTTTAAGTGGGTATGATTACATAAAATCAACATCGAAGTTATTTTCGGAGAACTGACAGCCTTTGCTGTACCCGAAAAGAAATCTGTGAAGTGTCTACAAGTTGAACAATGTGATGTAAAAGTGTTAGCAACACAGGCCACTATGAGCATGCTCACTTTAAAAAGAATGATGCAAGTCATATAATGTGCGGCAAATAGTTTGGCAGTTTATCAGCTGCATACAAACGGAAACACTATCTACAGTTTGTTTCTTTTTGCATGGCGGTAAACATTCGGGAACGTTAATCGACAAAAAAATTTAAACGCAAAGTAACGTGAAACACATGTAAGGCTGACATTTCGGAATCAGCCCGGTTTTTTCTTCACAGGGAAACGTGGCTGTGTTTCAGGAGAGTCTCGTAGTGATTTGCACAGTGGTTACTGACCCAACACATTGCTGTGTAGCTAAACGTTCTTTTTCTTAAATATAATTTGTTGTTCAGCATCTGCAATCTTATAAAGGCCATATTTATACAATTGAATCAGTAGTTTTGAACACTTGTATATTGCAAAAAAACTGTGGAAAACAATAAGTCTTGGAAATTAAACACGAAATGCACATCAAAACAAGTTAAGCCATTCGGGTCATTTAGTAATAATAATACCAATGGTATATTTTACAAAAACTTCTCAGTAGTTGAAATCTTTTTACATGACAGTAGCAGCATAACATTATATTGTAGAGAAGCTTCCGAACACTGAAATTGGTCGAACTCTCAGGTGCCTTCTAGTGGATCTACCCAAAAAGGATGCCGCTCGCTCTGAGAGCCCATGCTTGGCCGTTTCTGTCGCCATTCTGTATGCTCGCTGTATGCCGGCTAATAAACGCCTAGACAATTTGGTGGAGAGTGCTGTACCCTTCAAACACCTTCGGTTCGCATTCGATGCTCTTCGAGCTTAGATCCCGTACCGTGCCTTCTACCATGCACCAAGACGCCGCTCAGCAACGCTTCCTCCTGCGCCGACGCCATGTTCCGGTGTCCCCCGCATCCGCGACCCTCCTGTCTTCACCGGCGCAGATGGCACTGACGTCGAGGACTGGCTTGCTATGTACGAACGCGTCAGCGTCCCCAATCATTGGGACGAGGCAGGTAAACTCGGCAACCTGGTTTTCTACCTCGCGGGTGTGGGCGGCATGTAGTATAACAACCAGGCATCCGATTTCACAACCTGGTCCGATTTCAAGACCGCTATCACCAACGTTTTTGGCCGCCTTGCCGTTCGTAAGCTGCAAGCCGAGCAGCCCTTATGCGAACGCGCTCAGCAGGCCGGTGAATCATTCACCAGTTACATTGAAGATGTCCTGGACCTGTGCGAGAAATCAAACGACAGCATGTCCGAATCAGACAAAATCCGGAACGTCATGAAGGGCATTGACGATGATGCCTTCACGATGCTGCTTGCCAAAAACCCAGGCACAGTAGCTGAGGTCATCACGCTGTGCCAGAGCTACGAGGAGCTGCGCCGGCAGCGTTCGATGAACCGTCGCTCCACACCACGAGATGCAGGGCTTGCTGGCTTGGAGGCGAGCTGTGATCAGGTGGCACTGCTGGCAGACCTCAAGTCCTTCATACGTAAGGAAATCGCGCGGCCGTTCCCTCTCCAGCCCTTTGCCCACCCACCGGCTGCTCAACAATCGGCCACTACCATTCTTCCACCCATCCGCCTAGCAATAGGCAATATGCGAAATTAACAGCGCCATCTAGTGAGCGCAGCAGGTACCATATCCGCCATTTTGATTCTGGCGAGGCTTGACCACTACGCACGGGCGACCCCCATGCGAACGTACGCGTTTCAACGCTTTGACTGTCGCAGTCAGATTTTTTTGCTGGCGAAATGCCAGTACACTGCTGTGTGCCGCTGTGCAAGCAGGGCGGAGTCACAGACAGCGATGTAAGCAAGGTATGTGGCATGAATTACAATTTTCCAGCGATCGTGTAAACGCAAAACAGCTAGGGTATGGCGTAAACAAGCTTTATGGGCACAGTCTAGGATGCATGTATCTCTGCGGTGCACGGGCTGCACGAGAGCAATGCAGGACTAACCATTTTTTGTGTTACGTGGACAGGCCGTGTTTTTATAGGTTTGTCAGCTTTGCGGCTGGGTGTTTTCACTACGTCGGGCCTCTACACAACAGTGGTGCTCTTCGATTTACCGTCTCGAACTCGCTGAGAAGCTGTGCGACATTCAAATTTTTTATGACTTCGGGGAAGCCTCGGACTACCCGCGGGCTATCCGCGGTGAGTCTGAGATGGTAAATCGAAGAGCCCGGCGATTCCCTGCAGTCAAATAGAGAGTCTGCCACTGCGGGTGGGGTGAGCAGTGTGACAGAACCAAATTGTTAGGACGGGCTTTTTTGTGACGAGATTACACCTCGTAGGTAGACAACGTAGAAATGTTATTTTTGAAGCTGATTGCGCACAGAGACGTGCAGAGCTATACTCCGAGTAACATGCCGTACACGCATCCTAGAAAGGCAGCTCGGTTGCTTGTCCGTGTTCAAGCTCCGTGGTGTCCGGTCACCACACAGCAATAAACAGTCATTCGGAAGATAAGGGCTATGCCCACTTTGTAACAGAAAAGTATCTGCTCAGGCCCTTGACTTCGATTCCCACCAACGTGCGCGGACGCAACTTTTCCATTGGGGCCTCTCTCACTAATTTTCCTTTACCAATGAAATAAAATCGAAAAGATAGTGGTGCGCACTGCCGTAGGTTTCAAAAACTGGCACCATGAGTATCTCCAGGGCTTGACTGAATGACGTTCTGCAGGAGTTCAGAGTGCAGCAGTCCTATTTATTCGTAAGACGGGATTCATTCTCTGCATTTTAGTCTCTTTGGCTCAGTTGCGTTTTGGCTCAGTTGCGTTGCAGCTGTTTTTTTGTGTGTGTGTGTGTGTTGCAACTCACCTGTTGCAAATAGCGGAGGTCATGCCTGCGTACCACTCACAACAGCTTCCGCCCCCTGCGCTCCCAAGTTATGCCCAAGTGGTCGCCAGGCCGCCTCCAGTCGTTCAAGCACCCACCCCACTGACTGACGCCGAAGCTGCCGCACGACTCCATCCTTTGCAGCGGGTATGCCGGCTACGTATGTTGACGTGACCTCTCATACTCAGCTCCAGCGCCCCATGCAGCCTTTCCAGCCACAGTTCCGTTCATCAGTTCTTGCGTCATGGACAAGACCTCCCCCGGCGAACTGATGGCGCACACCCGACAACCAGCCCACTTGCTTTGTCTGCGGTTACGCCAGCCACGTAGCACGTTATTGCACTCGCGTACAGACGCCCCATATCTCATCGCCTGTTGCTGGCCAGATCCGGCTATCACGACAAAACGCCGTCTATGCCACCGCCAACTCGCCTAGCTTCATTTTCTCGTAAGTCACCGTCTCCACGACGTCGTTCCCCGTCCCCCATGCGGCCAAGTTCAGCTGCTCACGAGCGGGAAAACTAGTCGTCGCAGTCCCCGAGGCAAGGGCTGCGACGCTATCGCATTGTGAAAGCCCTCAGAGCCGCCCATCTAATGTCATTGACGTACTTGTGGACGGTGTTCATGCATCTGCTCTTATTGACACTGGAGCTGCAGTATCCGTTATGGACGAAAACTTTTGCCGCTTGCTTCGAAACGTGACGACGCCAATTTCTGGGTTGTCCCTGCGTACTGCCGGTTCGCATCGTATCCATGCTACAGCAGGGTGCACAGCTCACGTTGTCGTTCAGGACGTTCTGTATGTCAGCCAATACATAATCATTCCTGCATGCTCTCATGACGTCATCCTGAGGTGGGATTTTCTCTCCCGCAACGACGCCGTCGTCCATTGTGCCGCCGCCAAAATTGAACTCTCACCCTTCTCGCATTTGACGCCGGAAGACAGCCCCTCGAAACTGAGCAAGATTCTCGTGAAAGACGATACCATACTGCCTCCAAGCTCGACGATGGGTGTATCTGTCTACTGCGCTGGACTCTCCGACACAATTGCACTCGTTTCGCCATCCGACCGTGCTTGCCGAAGGAAAGGGTTGCTAGTACCTTTCGCGACCGTGCAAATCACCTAGGGCAACCCTGCTATTTTTGTGACCAACCCATCTCCGTACACTGTTACCTTGGTTCGAGGGGAATGTCTCGGCAGAGTGGAACCAGTGGATAGCGCACAAGTCCTGGACGTACCTAATGACTCGCGTTGTCCCGATTCGCGTACCATCAGTGCTGTTTCCACTTCTGATTCATCATCTCCTGATGTCTTTGGCCCCTACATTGATGACAACCTTACGTCGGTACAGCGTTCCCAGCTTCTGGACCTGTTGCGAGAATATCGTTCTTCTTTCGATGTCGGGCGCAGTTCTCTCGGTCGCGCGTCTGCTGTTACGCTTCGTATCGACACTGGTGCCCATCCACCATTACGGCAACGTTCCTCCCGCGTGTCGCCTGCTGAACGTCGGGAAATTAACGAGCAGGTTGATGATATGCTCCGACGCGACGTTATTCGGCCCTCGGACAGTCCATGGGCGTCTCCTGTTGTTCTTGTTGCGAAGAAAGATGGTTCTGTGCGATTCTGTGTGGATTACAGACGGCTCAATAAGATCACTCGCAAGGATGTTTACCCACTGCCACGCATCGATGACACAGTTGACAGTCTTCACGGAGCCGAATTTTTTTCTTCTCTCGATCTGCGCTCGGGGTACTGGCAAGTACCCATGGCTGACGACGCTCGACCGAAGACTGCGTTCATCAAGCCCGACGGCTTGTACGAATTCAACGTCATGCCTTTTGGTCTATGTAATGCACCTGCGACCTTTGAGCGCACGATGGACACCGTTCTGCGCAACTTGAAATGGCACACGTGCTTGTGTTACCTCGATGGCGTTGTTGGGTTCGCTCCAAATTTCTCCACGCATCTCCTACGTCTGAAAAAAGTTTTCGCACGTGTGAGCAGTGCTGGCTTGCAACTAAATCTGAAGAAGTGCCGCTTTGCAGCACGGCAACTCACCATCCTAGGGCACGTCGTGTCCAAGGATGGCATTCTTCCTGACCCAGCCAAGCTTCAGGCCATTGCCGAATTCCCCAAACCTGCGTCCGTCAAAGAACTGCGCAGTTTCGTGGGCCTGTGCTCATACTTCCGACGCTTCATACGAAACTTTGCCACGATCATATCACCGCTAGCTGACGAAGCTCCTTGGAAGTAACGGGCCCCTCAATTCGTGGTCGTCTGAGTGCGACGACGCGTTCGCGAAGCTCCGCCATTTGTTGACGTCTCCTCCCATCCTACGCCACTACGACCCTACGGCCCCAACGGAGGTGCACCCGGATGCCAGCGGTGTAGGCCTCGGCGCTGTCCTGGCACAGCGAAAACCCGGATTTCCTGAATATGTCGTAGCATGTGCAAGCCGTACGCTCACGAGAGTCGAGACCAACTACACCGTCATGGAGAAAGAGTGACTGGCGATCATCTGGGCCCTTACAAAGTTTCAACCTTAATTGTATGGTCGCCATTCGATGTCGTCACCGACCATCATGTACTTTGCTGGCTTTCATCATTGAAGGATACCTCAGGCCGTCTCGCCCGTTGGGCTCTTCACATACAAGATTACGACATCCGCGTGCTGTACCGCAACGGACGCCAGCATGCTGACGCCGATGCCCTCTCGCACTCCCCTCTGCCTGAAGGTGATTTGCTCTGCTCAGTAACCTCAATTGCTGTTTCTACCATCGATGTTGACATCCTCGCTACTAGACAGCGAAATGATAATTGGATCACCCCGCTGATTGACTTGCTCTATGATTTATCCGCAACACCATCCACGCGTGCCTTGCGTCGTCGAGCTCACCATTTCGCCAACCGTGACGGCCTCCTACACCGAAGCAATTACGACGCCGATGGCCGGCAGTGGTTACTCATGATACCCCACAGTCCGCAGTCTGATATATGTGAATAAGTTCATTCTGATCCGCAATGCGCGCACTCTGGGGTATCGAAAACTTACCACTGCATTCATCAACGCTACTTCTGGCGCGGGATGTACCACTACGTGCAGCAGTTCGTTTGCTTTTGCCTCGCTTCCCAACGCCACAAACCGTCAGCACACATGTCGCACGCCGGTCTACAACCGTTACCTTTCTCTGCCCGTCCGTTTGGGCGCGTAGGTACTGATTTGTACGGGCCACTTCCTCTGATGTCGGCTGGTAACCGCTGGGCCATCGTCGCCGTAGACCATTTAACGCGATACGCCGAAACCACCACTCTCCTTGCAGCTACTGCATGCGATGTTGCGGCCTTCCTGCTGCATCAATTCATACTGCGCCACGGACCACCCCAAGAGCTTCTCAGCGATCGAGGCCATGTCTTCTTGTCAGAAGTAGTCGAAGTCATTCTCATGGAGTGCCATTCTGTCCACCGCTAAACTACTGCTTACCACCCCCAGACGAATGGCCTCACCGAACGCTTTAACCGCACCCTCGGTGACAAGCTTTCGATGAACGTCGCCGCCAACCACACGAATCGGGATACTATACTGCCCTTCGTCACATACGCCTACAACACCGTCCCTCAGAGTACAACCAGGTTTTCACCTTTTTCTGGCTGTACGGAAGGCACCCGTCACGCTATAGCGACACGATACTTCCATACACGCCAGATCCATCTGAGTGTGCACCTATTTCTGAGACAGCAAGGCTTGCTTAAGAGTGTCGAGAGCTTTCCAAGACTTATACGGTGCATGAGCAAGAGCGGCGGAAGAGTATTCGTGATGGCTCCGCCACTTCTGAGCCCACGTTCCTTCCTGGTTCCCTTGTATGGCTCTCAATCCCGACCTCTGTAGCTGGCCTTTCTTCCAAACTACTCCCGAAATACGAAGGCCCCTACCGTGTCATCGAGCGCACATCTCCGGTCAACTATCTGATCGAACCAATTGAACCAACTTCGGACATGCGCCGTCGCGGGCGCGACATAGTCAACGTGGAGCGCCTGAAGGCTTACTATGACCCACTCGTAGTGACAAGCTGCTAGGTCGCCAGGCGGCTCCCTCTTCGACCCCGGGGTGATTGTAGAGAAGCTTCCAAACACTGAAATTGGTCGAACTCTCAGGTACCTTCTAGTGGGTCTACCCAAAAAGGATGCCGCTCGCGCTGAGAGCCCGTGCTTGGCCGTGACTGTCGCCATTGTGCATGCTCGCTGTGTGCCGGCTAATAAACGCCTTAACAATATGTTTATTGCAGGGACAACTATTCATTAAAAAAGTGTCATTTCTCATGTAATAAAGAAAAACTTGCACTTATGTCTCAACGGCAAGAAAATCACGAAAACGTACAATTTTGAGACGTGTGCGTGACTCCGAAAAAAATTATTATAACGTTGTTTCTAACACCGATATTACCAAAAGAATCAACCTATTTGGTTTTCCCTTGAGAAAAGGTCTGATGTCTTTACATCGTAAACAGCATAGTAAACATCCAGAAAATTGCCAGCAATAAACACTTTTGGCATTAAGTGCGAATGTGTAAACAATAAAAGCAAACTGTCTATGATGTAATGTGCAACCTTAACATGGTTTCTGACATTTAATCATAGCGATTTCCAGCTTTTAGCTGATAAAACGTTCAATTCATAGGACCACAGTGGGACTGTCCAGATGTATTCAATTATTTTTGACTACTCAGGTATACTCTATTAATTATACGGCGGAGAAAACATTTTTTGCAGCGCTCGGTTATTATTAACTGACTGCTCAGTATCTTCATGTCTATAGTTTTCAATTATTAATCTTCTTCACACCACTTCCAGTGTTTCGAATGTTTCAAATTAAATGGTTTCACGTGCCAGAACCCTGACAGGATCGTGAGGTACTCCATATTTGAGGACAATGGATTAGTCCTGGCCATTTTGGCGTTATTCAAGATGTGCATAAATTCTAGTACGTGGGTATTTTTTCACTGAGCTCCAACTGAACGAATGACCGGAAATTGAATCTGCATCCGCAAGCTTACCACCGGTACACCTTTGTGATTTAACTACCATTGCAGGTGTTTCTGCATTTACTTATTATGCTCATTACTGAATCAAAATTTTTGTTTCAAATGCTGATGATAAACTCTTTCTCTTTGTGCAAGCAGAAAGCATGAAGAGATCTGAAATGGGTGAGCTATATTACTTTCGCTTTTTTTGTATTCAAGCTGGACACATCAACATGCTGCTAGATTTCAAATGTTGCGCAGACGATACAGTTTGGAAGCACGGCTTTTATTTGTGTAAACGTTGCACAGAAAAAAGTCGTGAATAAAACAATGTCATTACCAGCATATTCAGATATTATATAGCCTTTGGAGCAAAAAATGTAATGGCAGTACATTTAAGTGCTATGAAACTTTGCACTTTTCACTGCAAGGTTGTGTAATTCAGAGATTTACAGCCAAAAACTATGGTTATTCAGGGGGATCCATAAAGTTAGTGAATATTCATTTTTCTTTAATCTTGTAATAAAAGGCAATAAATCCGCATACCGAAGTGACTACTATAGCCGTATAGCCGTGCCCTTTAGCCGTTTAGAATTCAGGTGAGTCTACTGTACAGTGATCTTGAATTTATTTTTACTTTTACCTGTAGCTGAGATCATCAGCAAATATTCATACGATAAAGTTTTCAACATAACTTAAAAAAACAATACTACGACTAAAAGGTTTTCCGCACATTCTCACATTACACACGCTTTTAGAATAAACTACCTCCAAATTATCGTTGACACATAAGTTTCGTGTCTTTTTGTGTAACAAATATGGACAAAACAACAAATTACGAGCAAACAACATTACAGCCACCTCTGATCCTGTTTTTATGAGAACTCGTAAATTACTAATCGTAAAAAATGCCGCGAGAATGACTAGGAAGAGACCATTCATACCAGTTGCGAAACGGCGTTCCGAAATACAAACACGCAGTCGGCTCGATTTTTCGGAAGGTAGCCGACTGTCACGCCACCTGGGATTAACAATACTAAATACACATAATGCGTTTAACAGTGGGCGAGCAGATCAGGGGGCTGGCGAAGGAAGGGCAATGACGTGTCCAGATTTCGATACATGGAACCTATGGGGAGTTTCGCAACTCGTATGATTGAATAACTCTCGGAAGAGACGGGACGGAGTGCTGTCCTCTATTGTCAATTCCTTTTTTTCTCTCAGTTTTTTGCTATGGCTGTGTACCAACAAGCACGAATTCATGCGCTACTCGTAAATTAGTACGCTGCTCAGCAATGCCCAATGGTAAGCCTGCGCTTCAATGTGTTTCTGTCTGCTAATTACAGAATGCAGCTACAAAGCGTGTGTGGATGAGTGCAATTATAAAGGTCTTCATAAAGTACTATTGCAAGCTAGATGCAACAGTCACAATGAATGCGACTGTGTTTACAAAAAGGGTGAGTACAGCTAAAGAATGGTGCACTCAAAAAACTTACACTAGGCTGACAAGACTATAAACCCAACTGTATGTTTATTATTGATACGCGTGGTCCACGAAAAATGCGTAATCGGATGATGCTTACTGCAACAATGCAAGAGGCAAGAAGTTGCCACAAATATTTCTACAGAAAATATTAGACTTGAGAAGCACTGCTTAGAGAGGCAGCTTGGATTAAACTCTTTAGACGTGAATCATGATGAACTTTCTGTACATGTGTCAAATTTGCATAACGTTCTTCCGATGCACTCGGCAAACTATTGCGATATATAGAGAAGGTGATAGTAGGTGGAGTTTTGCATTTTTCAGCCGTTACCTTAATTAGTGTTAAGTCTGAAAATTATCACTCAGAATACAGTCAAGTTCTTTGCTTGAATATGAATAATGACCTCTCAGGCTAGACACCCTCGGCAACGTGCTGTCCGCTACAGTAAATGGAACATAAAGGTGCTGGGAAAAGTATGTTCAATTGGACAGTTCTGTTTACTGAGAGATAAACGTGAGCGCAGATTAGCAGGCCAAAATGAAACATATCAGAGGCAATTGTCCCATTTAAGCTGTGGCTCCGTTTAACAGATTTCCATTTATTAAGACTCTACTGTATATCTAATTCTGACCAGACAAAAATTGATGCTTTAGAATGGCTCTCAAATAAGTTTTGGAGTTTTACACCACAAAACTATATATAGTTTTGAGAGACGCCGCAGTGAAGGGCTACGGAATTTTCCAGCCACTCTGGGTTTTTTCAATCTAAGCATGCACACCGTTGGCGTTTTGCCGCCATCTTTACGCTGCCGCCACTGCTAAGATTTGATCCCGTTACCATCGACTGAGCAGTCGAGCGCCACGACCACAACACCACTACAGGGGGGTATGCATAAGTTCCTTCAAGCTGGTACATCGAATCGCTTGTCTAAGATCGTAGAGCCTTGGGCAAGGTGATCGCACAGCAGCAATATGGAGGGATATAAAATTAGCCGAGTAACACACTCGGGAACTGCGCACGAATATGTACGTCATGTTTCAAGCCGGATGAAGAAACCTGTGGTGCGTGACAAACATCTGGGGTTGAGTACGATTCCACGCGCAGCTGGTTAAAGGGGCCTTAAAACACTTTTATGAGTAACCATGGAAGTAACTCACTTGAAGAGCTTATTACGTCACAAATTCAACACCACAAAAAGCTTAAGAATCCATCCAGTACGAGTGGAGTTACAAAGATTTGCCTCATGCTGCCATTGCATTCTTTCTTCTCTCGTCCCGACAAAAGCGCTGGAAGCTAAGCAGGGAGGAATGGGAGGGGCAAACAAAAAAGGTCATGAGCCCCCAGTGACCTTGAGCACTTTTTTTTTTCTTTGAATACACGGCCTTTCCAGTGCGATCGCGCATGCACTCGTGGACAAGTGAAGGCCTCCCGCGGCAATATAATTATTGACCGAGCGCACCAGGTTCAAATCAGCCAATGGCTGATATATGGGTTAGCAACATGTCGTTTTTGAGAGTCTTCTGTCATTTGTTGAGGAAAGAGAAAGCAATTTTTAGCTTTGATAACTTATTGTGAATTTCAGGCCGCGTGCTGCGCTATAACATTTGGCTCGCATGTTCTCAAGAGCGTCTACTACTGAACGGCAGCGTTTTCTGACCATGCTAAAAAAGTGTTTCGGGGCCCCTTTAAAGGATTTTGTTCCCTGCATGTACAGGTCAACCTCTTTCTGCGACTGCCGTCACAACGGGAAGCAATCGCACCTTGCACTTCTCACAAGAAATATGAAATTCTTGTTAATGCAATTTTAAAATATCTTCAGATGTGCAGTCAACCATCATACTGCGTATATTCAGCTGACATTCAAGCACATTGCCTGACAACATTGTACACCAAATGCATGCTGGCTAAGAAAATATTTAAATATTTATTGTACCATCAGAAGTAATAATATTACAGGTGGCAGTATGTGATTGGGAAAAAACTAAATGTACACAACATGCTAGCTTACTGGTTATGACTATAAAAAATACAACATAAATTATTTACAAGCACCTTAAAAACAAACAGTAATCTTAACAACTTGTGTAATATTCTTTTACATCTTTCAGATGAAGATGCTCACAGTGTTTTCGACCTCCTCAAAGTATGGAATTCATTCAAGCGTAAGTTGTGGTACATAGTCATATTATATTGCGCAGTTGAGATTCCATAGTTGAGAGCAATAGAAGAATAATCACCGTCTAGGGTCCTTTAATGGGCACCTAAATATAAGTACGTCGACATTTTTTTCTTCTTCATTTTGCTCCAATCGAATGCAGAAATCCAATTGGCGTCCTCAACTTAGCAGCGAGACACCGTAGCCATTACACCACTACAGTGTTCTTGTATTTGTGTTTTAAGCTTATGATTGAATCGAACTTTGTTTTATATACTAATGATGAACTCTTTCTGTTTGCACATGCAGAAAGAAAGGAGAGGTCAGAAATGGGTGAGCTATATCATTTTTGTTTACCTGTTTTTTAAGTTTAAAAGCTACATAGATGAGCATGAAAGTACATTTCCAACACTGCACAGACAACACAGTTTGTGAGCACTACTTTCTTTTATTTAAACATTGCATAGAAAACACCATGATTGAAACAAGGTCATAAGCAGCATATTGACCTAATAATATAATATTCCACGCTGAAGAAGCAAGACGAACACCAAGGAAGACTGTGATTTTGGGTGTGAGGCGCACTCGTCTTCGTCTTGGCTTACGCTTGGGCATAATGTAAATATGTCGTAAATACACCTTGGTACCCCGTGTGCCTACACATATTATATAGCTATCAAGCAAAAAATATCACTGCATATCCACAGAGTGAATGATGATGAGTGGGGCGAAGCGCTGGAGGGTTATATATACAAATACTGTATATATTTATACAAGAAAATCTACAGTTCATAAGTGGTAGCTATATGTTGCTTCCGTTCCCTCTTCATTATAACGGCTTAATGGTCAATGAGGTGATGGATTGGCGATGGGGCATAGTGGGGTGTTTGCAAGGACGAAGTAGTGGGCAGTTTTCAGAGGTGGAACTAAAGGTGGTCACGTACAAACAAGGAATGGTCACTGTGAGACAATCTATGGTTCTTTAACGTGCATCTGGATACAAGTACACGACCATCTTGCATTTCATATTGGCTACTTCTCAACAGTATTTGCTTCATGGTCGGTGAAGTGGTGGGTCGGTGATAGAGCGTAGTGGGAGCAGCTGGCAAAGGTGGAACTATAGGCGGTCACGTACGTAGGTACATACATACATACATACATACATACATACATACATACATACATACATACATACATACATACATACATACATACATACATACATACATACATACATACATACATACATACATACATACATACATACATACATACATACATACATACATACATACATACATACATACATACATACATACATACATACATACATACATACATACATACATACATACATACATACATACATACATACATACATACATACATACATACATACATACATACATACATACATACATACATACATACATACATACATACATACATACATACATACAAGGAATGGACAGACCCACGCCTTCATCGGCAGCACCTTTAAGCACTGTGAAACTTCATTATCTTTATCGCAAACCTGGACCATTTTGAGATCAAAGAAGAAGGTTACATTTCCGAGCGATGTTACGCTACACCGAAGCTATTTGTTACTGGTGGTGATTTAACCAAATTGTAGAATATTCATTATCGTAATTATTTTTACTGTAGCTTTTTACACAATCAATTGAATGGACAGCAAACACAATGGGAAGTTGCAAGGTATAAATGTATAGGTGTATTTTTCACTGCTGATCTGAAGAGGAACAGACACTGTACTCATGTTAGAAACAAGGCTATAACAGCACCAAATTTTATGAAATTAAACTTCGATAGCTTATCGCAGGAACTCACAACAGCCGTTGTATTTTACACATGTCCACAGCATACTAGACTATGCGTGTGTTTGCTGGGACTCCTACGCAAAGAACTTGTTAATAAACCTGTAAAAGAGCAGAATAGAGCAGTTCAGCTTGTCATTGGCAATTGTATGAAAAATATGCTTAGTATGACAGAAAGCAAAAAACTATTAAGTTTCTCAAATACGAGATCATCAGCTTAAAGTACGTGAGCTACCTTGTAAGGGTGATGCTTACCCCTAATCTTTCTTTGTTCGTACTATACGAGACTGGAACACCCTGCCACCTGACACTGTCTATATATATTCAAATGACGTTTTTTTTTTCATGCTTTCAGAATGTATTGTTATGAGCTAATTTTTATGTAATTTACCCTCCGTACTGTAATGCTTCTTGGCAAAGCAGGTACTTAATAAATGAACAAAATAAATAAAAAAGATGTTTCTCGGGGGGGGGGGGGGAGATGTATGGTCGCCATAAAATGCTACGTCCGACAGCACTTGCCGCAGCAGGCAAAGAGCTGCTACAAATATTTTGACTTGAGAAATTAGAATTTAAGTTTAAAAGTAATGCTCTAACCACCAGCTAAACTCTTTATGCGTGAATTTTGATGCACTGCCAGTAAATGTGTCAAATCTTGCACATGTTTCTAAGGTACCCAATTTTTATAGCAAGAAATAGAAGGTGGCAATATGGCGATTTGTTAGTACTAATCTTATTCAGTGCTGAGTTAGAAAACGGTCTAATCTGGAGACTGTAATGTTCTCTGAATGTGAATAACAAACGCTCAAGCTCAAAATATTTGAGCGATACGCTATCAGTTATGTTCATTCCGATCAGGCAAAAAATCTGAAGGTGTGGCGAAAGGCTGAAAGTGTGGTAGGAGACGATGGCGCTGCTTCTCGCTGCACGTGACATCACAAGCACCATAGCACAACGGCAATCGCAGGCGGTGGGCGTCATTAACCGCTGATGATTTCTATGGCCTGTTTTGCACTGAAATATTCTTTTGCGGCACACTTTTCACATATGTATGGTTGTAATAGGCCCTCTACTTCTAGTTTTAGCTGAAAACCACGAATTGCTGGGTGACCATGTCGTGGCCCTTTTCAACGAGTGCCAAATGCTCGCTTGGAAAATGTGTACAAATGTGTACATCATGTTTCAAACAGGCTGAAGTAACATGCAGTGGTTGACAGTCGCCCGTGGTTGACGAGTGCTATTCTATGCACAGCTACTTAAAAAGAAACTTTGAAAATATCTTTAGATATGCATGCAACCATGCCACATATATTCATTTGCCAAGCAAGCACACCAGTCTTGGGCAGTAACTAGTTACTAGTTACATGTTACTGGTAACTAGTTACTTTTTTCAGTAACTTGTAACTGCAACTAAGTACATTTAGGTTAGAATAACTTGTAAATGTAACGCTGTTACTTTCTTACGCAGTAACTGTAACGGGAAACAGTGTTACAGTTACTTTCCCGTTTCCCCTCCATCTTTCACCTTTCCACAACACCGCTCCTCTCGCAGCTAAAGAGTGGAGGTCGCAAAGGCTAAGTTCACGTCGTTTGTTTTTTTGTTTTTTTTCACATATATATCCTGTTAATCACTTGAGCTGCTAGCTCTGCTCTTGGTGTATCGGTGAATCATTAGGACGCCAAGCTTAGTCTCATTCGTCCGAGGCTCCGAGATAACCTTGCTCGACGGGCGGCTTGAAAGCAGCAGAGCCCAATACGGTTGAGAGCCACAAATAATAGCGAATAATTCTTTAAACTAGCGAATAATTCTTAACTTATGCTCAACTAGCGAATAATTATTTAAAGCCTCTTTGGAACTGATTGTAAAAGGTTAACTCCGACTCACACTTTTCTCTTCCCCCCCCCCCCCCCCCACCCCAAATTCATTCACGCGCCAGCATCATCGCATTGCTTAGGTCAAAACTATGTCCAATTGTCCAGCAGTGTTCAGCAAACTCTGTCCTAGAATGCGTAGCACAAGTTCCTTTAGCAATATTCCATTTGTCAATACTTTCCTGCCAATTCCGTCGATGTTAAGCCGCGTTGCAATCCCCACATCGTGCTTGTAATTCACGAACACATGTTTTTGCGGCCAGCGGACGTAGAAGCCTCCGAACAGAGTCCGATACACCTTGAACATCGAAAACATACACATTCGACGTTGTCTTCACTCATTACGCGTTCCCCATTCCTCTTAGCTAGTGCTTCTGGATATCGCTAATAAACGTCCTAGGATAATGCTGTTGTTCAAATGCATCAACTACGCTTTCTCCTTCTAGAGTCCAAGGACGTTTATTATTATTAATTGCAAATTAAGTTCA